CAATTTTCATTATTAATTCTATTTAATATTTAATTCATATTTCTATATTCATATTTAATTATTCAATTTTAAATATAATAACAGAAAATTTAATTCAATGTATTATTTGCTACATACATAGATTATTCTTGTTCCAATAGCAGATTAAAAACGTTTTATGGCAATATGAAATTGTGGGACCGTTCTAAAGTTATCGAAAACGGTAGTATTAATAAATATCCGTTTCGTTCTAAGTAAGCTTGAAAAGGAGAACGACGGGATATTTAAGCGATTATGAAACAAGCTACCCAGTTGAGAATATTAGGGTTTTTGCAACCGATCACGGAGTTTTCGTAAAGTAAAGAGAAGAAGCTTAATATCGCTCGATTTTCCCGTCTATGCGTGGTACCTCGTATCTACGTATTATACGGCCGTACCCGCCGATGAGAAATATCATAAAGCTAACCACCTAATCTGTTCCTCATTGCTGCTTGAATATTGGATAAGTTCAGCAGTAAACGGGCAAAATAGTGGGATAACGTTGCCCGGTATCGTTTCGACGGCGCGCGGAACAACCGTCCGCTCGTTTGCAATAAGTAGAAGATACATAGACGCAAACACGGGAGCGTGCACGTTCACGGAATTATTATGTTTCAGCCCTGCCCGACGGTACGCCCATTATCGTATCGGAACGCGAACGTTACGACGTGGGAGACACTTTGAGGGCGAATTGTAGCTTGCCACCCTCGAAGCCACCGGCTGATCTCTCATTCACTCTGAACAATGTGGCGGTAAGTGATACCTATTATACACGCGTCATTATCGAATCCCTAGTTAAGGGAGCTGCCATGAAATTAATGGTTTAAGAGCGTTTCTATATACAACCCATCCCTGTCTAAGGTTATTGATTCAGATGTTCAATGCACAACGTAGATCGTTGCTTAAGTGCTTCCGATGTACTTATAGTGTCTTATGTGATATTGTTCTTTAATTGCTTGATTCGAATTTTAATATTAATTGCTCGATTCTTACAATGAAAGTGGCAGAGACTGCCTTTTAGATTCAAGGAAGATCGTTCGTACAAAAAATCTTAATCGGTTTTGAATTTTGCATATGCGAATTCCAATTTGTATGAAAATTTTATTAACAGACATTACCGAAGTGGTTAGGTACTCGAAATCGTGGCACGGAGTGTCTTTAAAAATCGATGGCGCACAGTCCGAGGTACCTAAAATTTTCACGAAGTAAAATCTTCCTCAAGCACCGCGGCGTCAACTTCCACAGGCCGCAGAACTTTTTCTTAAACTTTAAACGCTTTCCCGTGTCATCGAAAACAATTTTCACTGCTGACGTTAGATACCCTGTACATAGAATATTTATATATACATATATACACATATATATA